TGAACTCACAAGTTACAAAGATAATTTAATCATATAAGTAAATTTACTCACTTACGTTTATACAGAGCTACAATCATGAACAAATTATAGAGTAATGAACATGTATATACAGTGGATCCCCCCGAGTTCGCGGTTCCGAATTTGCGGTTCCGAATTCGCGGTTCCGAATTCGCGGTGTGTATTCAGAAGCAACAACATCTTTCTCTGACATATTTAACTGCCATTTATTCGTTCAAGAAGACAAAAAAGAACTATACGAAAAAGGGGAGACAGAAGAGAAAACCAGTAAGTCACGAGAGAAACCCAGAAAGATGATCACAACAAACAATAAGTTTATTATAGAAAGGCATGATAAAAAAAACTAAACTAAAACAATATCAAAATATTTGGAAGTATAGGATAAAGAAGAGAAAAACCCAAAGCAAATCAAAACAAGAAGAGAGTAAGAAGGCCAAGAAAAATATTAAAAAAGTGAACAGAAACTAAGATTTATAGGATAAAGAATACAAAACACAAGAGAAGGAAAGCAAAGTAGAAGATTCAGACGAAAAATAAGAAAAAATAATGAATATACACAAAATATGAAAAGTTACGTAATTTACTCTTAAGAAGAAACAAAAAAAAAACTAGTAAAATTAGTTAGTTTTTAATCCAAGAGCAGCAATGAGTTGTGTAAGCAAAACCTTTCCAGTATTTTGTTCCCACGGGGGAGACTATAACCCACAGGGGTAGCTATTGTTTCTCTTGCCCTGTGGGAAGAAAAAACAATTATATCCACGATGCTACAATGGGATAAAGAAAACGGAAGTACGTCTTTTATATATTTCGTGAAAAGAATCATAATCTGCACTATTTTTTTCTGCAGTATATTAATTGTAATGGTTTTGTGCTTAGGTTGCCAATGGGTTTTGGAGATCCGTAGGGAAATTTTCGCGAGTGTGAGAAATGGTAGGTCTGAGCGTAATGGTGTAGTAAATAAATAGGTTCTTCGTGTATCATGGTGGTATTGCTGCTTCTAGCTTGCGTGTGTGTGTGTGTGTGTGTGTGTGTGTGTGTGTGTGTATCTAGGTACTCGCTGCGTAGCTTAACGTAATGAAACCAAGTATTGTCTGTGTTGCAATGTGTATCAACCTGCCCTTGCAACATGAGCCTCGGCTTCAACCCCCTTAGGAATACTCCGTTCCTTTCCTTACGCATGCAAGTGCCTCTATTTTTGAGGAATTTATGGCCAAACTAAAATTATTTTGGAAGATACGTGAGCAAACACTAATAACTCTGTCTTAATCTACACTTAATTACTGTAGGTTAGGTTACCTTTTTACTTAACTATACTGCTGAAGAGGATCCCAGAAGGGGGTCGAAATGTACAGATCAATCAATCTCAGTTTCTGTATTCATGGGGGTTATTATTTAGCATGAACTAGTGTTCATTATTAGTTATTCATTCTAACCGTCATTACAAGACACGTGGAAAACCATACGCTCGTCTGGTTCAGCTGTCTGGCTGCTTGAAAATTAAAATTATCCGCTCATCTTACCTCTGGGAGAAGTTACTGATATGTCAGTTATTGTTGTACTGAAGCAGCTACCTATTTGCTTCGAGGTAATTCCCCCTCAAGGAAGGTTCCTTGATGTTGGTGAGGGGTCTTGATTTAGGGAATTGGATCTGTGCTCCAGTTCCCCGAATTAAGCCTGAATGCCTTCCACATCTCCCCTCCCCAGGCGCTGTATAATCCTCCGGGTTTAGCGCTTCCCCCTTGATTATAATAATAATAATAATAATTCGAGGTAATTCTGAGAATCATTGAAGCCACTATTGTGTTGCCAGTAACTTTTATTTTACGTCCTGATCAAGAAAGCTATTAGCAAGAAAAAGACGCACGTATTGAACAATCTCTCACTGGGAAAACGTTTCGCACTGCATATTTAGCTTTATATAAAACGAAATGTAGTCAAAAGAAAAGGCTGTTCTACTGTTGTGTATTATTTTTCATTACCGTGGGCAGTTCACCTTTGTAAGTGAAGCTGTTGGTGTTGGCAGCCGATAATAGATGATTGAAAGCATTGTACAAAGTTTCGTCCTTGCAAGATTTATGGATCTGCTGATAATTTCCCCTCTTATTTTTGAGGGACGTGTTAATAATTTATGATTTTCAAGACTATTAAGTTTGATGTAACGCTTTATTAGGGAAGGGGAGCATTAGGTTGAATGCCTATCGACAACACCATGATATCACCTGACTCCTCCACCAATAAAGTTCACTTTAATCCATTAAGTGAACTTTATACCAAACTTTAAGTAGGTAAAAATACTTCCCAGTATTTTGCACATAAAATCGGCATATATTCGCCTACACGAATATATGCCTACGCGAATATATATTGTTCCGGGAGCGTTGACCCCCCGGAACTCTCTCCAGGTATACTTAAGTATAACGAGTGCGAACAGCATGTCAAAGCCACAGTATGTTAAAGCCACAGTCAAGGTGTATTCGGAAATCTAAAATAATCTGGTGGTATTATAATTCATCCTCTATAATATGTTCTGTAGACAGCCCTATAATTTCCTATAATCTGTATGTTATTTTGTCGTATATTTAAAATAAAACAAAATGTATTAATTATCCAGATTTAAATACTTGAGTTCTACACAAAGCTGCATCCATATTTTTTTTTAATCCCAGAGTGTTGTTGTAACATACCCACTTAGTTTACTGTAGTAACATGCCCACTTGGTTTAACTGTAGTAATATACCCACTTAGTTTACTGTAGTAACATACCCACTTGGTTTAACTGTAGTAACATACCCACTTAGTTTACTGTAGTAACATGCCCACTTGGTTTAACTGTAGTAATATACCCACTTAGTTTAACTGTAGTAACATACCCACTTGGTTTAACTGTAGTAACATACCCACTTGGTTTAACTGTAGTAACATACCCACTTGGTTTAACTGTAGTAACATACCCACTTGGTTTAACTGTAGTAACATACCCACTTTGTTTAACTGTAGCAACATGCCCACTTGGTTTAACTGTAGCAATATACCCACTTGGTTTAACTGTAGTAACATATCCACTTTGTTTAACTGTAGTAACATACCCACTTGGTTTAACTGTAGTAACATGCCCACTTGGTTTAACTGTAGTAATATACCCACTTGGTTTAACTGTAGTAACATACCCACTTGGTTTAACTGTAGTAACATACCCACTTGGTTTAACTGTAGTAACATACCCACTTGGTTTAACTGTAGCAACATACCCACTTGGTTTAACTGTAGCAACATGCCCACTTGGTTTAACTGTAGTAATATACCCACTTGTTTTAACTGTAGTAACATACCCACTTGGTTTAACTGTAGTAACATACCCACTTGGTTTAACTGTAGCAACATACCCACTTGGTTTAACTGTAGTAACATACCACTGGTTTAACTGTAGTAACATACCCACTTGGTTTAACTGTAGTAACATACCCACTTGGTTTAACTGTAGTAACATACCCACTTGGTTTAACTGTATTAATACCCACTTGGTTTAACAGTAGTAACATACCCACTTGGTTTAACTGTAGTAACATACCCACTTTGTTTAACAGTAGTAACATACCCACTTGGTTTAACTGTAGTAACATACCCACTTGGTTTAACTGTAATAACATACCCACTTGGTTTAATTGTAGTAACATACCCACTTGGTTTAACTGTAGTAACATACCCACTTGGTTTAACTGTAGTAACATACCCACTCAGTTTAACTGTAGTAACATACCCACTTGGTTTAACTGTAGTAACATACCCACTTGGTTTAACTGTAGCAACATACCCACTTTGTTTAACAGTAGTAACATACCCACTTGGTTTAACTGTAGTAACATACCCACTTTGTTTAACAGTAGTATCATACCCACTTGGTTTAACTGTAGTAGCATACCCACTTTGCTTAACTGTAGTAACATACCCACTTTGTTTAACAGTAGTAACATACCCACTTGGTTTAACTGTAGTAACATACCCACTTGGTTTAATTGTAGTAACATATCCACTTGGTTTAACTGTAGTAACATACCCACTTTGTTTAACAGTAGTAACATACCCACTTGGTTTAACTGTAGTAACATACCCACTTGGTTTAACTGTAGTAACATACCCACTCGGTTTAACTGTAGTAACATACCCACTTGGTTTAACTGTAGTAACATACCCACTTGGTTTAACTGTAGCAACATACCCACTTTGTTTAACAGTAGTAACATACCCACTTGGTTTAACTTTAGTAACATACCCACTTGGTTTAACAGTAGTAACATACCCACTTGGTTTAACTGTAGTAACATACCCACTTTGCTTAACTGTAGTAACATTCCCACTTTGTTTAACAGTAATAACATACCCACTTGGTTTAACTGTAGTAACATACCCACTTGGTTTAACTGTAGTAACATACCCACTTGGTTTATTTTACAAAACCTAAAAAATAACTGTAAATCCACTTTTTTTTCATCTATTGTTGGTTCTTATTCAAAATGTACGTAATATATTTGACTCTTGTATTTATTTTTCCCGGGTACATATTTTATTCCATTCTTTACATTCCCAGTATATATTTTATTCAGGATGCATTATTATTATTATTATTATTATTATTATTATTATTATTATTATTATTATTATTATTATTATTATTATTATTATTATTATTTACTGTGGCTACTGCTGCTATTGTTACTATTACTCTATTACTTCTACAACTGTTGCTATTACTATTGCTGCTGTTACTACTATTACTATTACCATTATTATTGTTACTATTAATGTTAAGCGCTATATCCGCTTTTGTGGCTCGGTCTACTACCAGTAAATTTGTATTTCCTGTAGAAGGAAAATTTAATCTTCGAATCATAATTATCATTAATGAGAAAAAATATTGTTAATGGCAGTGAGGAGCCTGCACCATGATTACTAATTAAATTCCGGGTGTTATTGTCTTCTTTCAGAGGGAGGAGCAGCCATGCGTCTCCTGCTGGGGAGTCTGGCAGTGATGGTAGCCGCAACCAGTGAGTTAAATTCTCTCTCTTCCAGTTCTGGATTGTATAGGGACACTTGTGTACGGTTCATGGCGTTCGTTAAAGGCAACGTTTCGCCACTAGTGGTGAAACGTGCTTTTAATAAATGTCCTCTAATAAGGGTCTTTATTTCCATCTTGTCAGGATCTCCATAATATTTGATATCTCTTTGAACATTATTGAAAGAACAGATTTCAGCCATTGAGTGGAGTCTTACCGACTCCATGACATATTTTAATCATTAAATCAATAAAATAATGTAGGAAACTTGTTTACTAAGTCACATATACCGTATGTGATAAAGTTTCCTTACCAATAGAAAGGTCTCTCAGTAAAGACAGCCAGGTGTTGCACATATTTCTAATTAATATAGTTATGTTAGGATTTCTCGAGTTCTAATGTAGGTTAGGTTAAGTTCGGTTAGGTTAGGTTAGGTTGGGTTAGGTTAGGTTAGGTTAGGTTAGGTTAGATTTGGTTAGGTTAGGTTAGGTTAGGTTAGGTTTGGTTAGGTTAGGTTGGGTTAGCTTAGGTTAGGTTAGGTTAGGTTAGGTTAGGTTAGGTTAGGTTAGGTTAGGTTAGGTTAGGTTAGGTTGGGTTAGGTTAGGTTAATTCAGCTTGGGTTAGGTTAGGTTAGGTTAGGTTTGGTTAGGTTAGGTTAGGTTAGGTTAGGTAAGTTTGGTCAGGAAACAGGACGTGTTTCCTGACACAGCTGGAGCTTTTGGTCATCTGACGGAGGCCTTCCACGGGCTTACCCCTCCACCCCTTTAAAAATTAGGGTTAATGTTTATATACTCTAATATAGAATCTCCAGTTATATTAATATATTTCCAAAAAAAAGAAAGAATTGTAACAATTACACAAAATTTTAGTAATAAATCTCATTCCCAGCGTCACATACGTGTTAACTCTCGTGTTTATGCATAAAAAAACAAGACAAATTAATTACAGCATACAGAAAAAAACATTAATTGCCAGTTGGGCTTAACGGGATATTAGAAATGTAAAAATACCCCAAAAATTTGGTTATTATTATAGTACGCCAGGTCGTTAACACATGCCAGATTAATTATATTATTTTTCATTTCATCCCTGTCCACTGACATTTATATTACTGGCCATATATACATAAAGAATCAAAAAAAGAGAAATGCATAATATATATATATATATATATATATATACCAACACTGATCTCTGGCTGAAGGAGACTCGAACCTACGAACCTTAGAACAAGGTACGCAGTGCTTTACCAATCTACCCACACAGTGTGGGTAGATTTGTAAAGCACTGCGTACCTTGTCCTAAGGTTCGTAGGTTCGAGTCTCCTTCAGCCAGAGATCAGTGTTTGTAATATTTCGCATGCTCTCGCGAATTCCTTATATATATATATATATATTATATATATATATATATATATATATATATATATATATATATATATATATATATATATTTATATATATATATATATATATATATATTATATATATATATATATATATATATATATATATATATATCTAGTACTGAACCTGAGAAATATTATTATTATTATTATTATTATCATCATCATCATATTCAGAGAAAAATCATTGAACCCATAAGTCATACAGCACCTAGGGAAATGGTAGGTAATCAAGTTCGGTTCATGGAATGGGAGCTGTAACCTGAGACTAACAATTACGATAACGACAACACTAGACAAACACGAAACATGATACTGACATAGGAAAAAGCTCCGGGAAAACGACAGAGTAATACGAAAAAGATTTCCTTAATTTTAGGGTCAGGTCTCTGACCATTCAGGCTTTTAGCGGTTCAAGACTTTCAAGGTTCAAAGGAGGATATAAGGGAATATGATCACACAAAATAAGGCAGAGAGAGTTTGTACAGATTATTCACATGGTGGCAATAAATCCCAGGTGAAACAGCCAGAGACGCAGCTGAGGCAGACTCCATATTTCGATGGATTTAAAAGTGACGAAGAGTGTAATGACGCCACTGGAAGGAAAGCTGAGAAGGGGTCCCAAGAGCTAGGTCTCAAGCCCCGTATACTCAGCTACGTAAATATAAGCAGACTGTGTGATATAACTCCAACAGGAAGCAACTGCGGCTTCTCTTTAAGGCCATCACAAACGTTTCCATGACTTATTTGTGATCTTAGACGTACAACCTGAGATTTAAGAAAACAGCCTGACCATTAACTGGACGACCTGACCTTTAACAGTACAACCTTGACCTTTGAATAATATTTTCTTTAATATAACAATCTGACCTTTAACGGCACTCAACGACATTAAATCACATGAAAAAGACACTTCATATATTACACATATAAACAACCCATTATGCTACGTACCAGGTAATTGGTCTTTCAATAGATGGAAATAATCGGAATCAGAATCACAAGACATCTATCCAGATAAGAGCGAAGATAGGTACATAATGAATAAAAACAATAACAGATGAATAAGTGAGAATCTCCTTTTAACAGACTGAAGAGTGGTGGGACAGTCACACAGTCACTTAGCGATGAGACAGTCGTAAAGTCACTTAACTGTTAAGCATGCACATAGTTCAGGTATCTTAGCTCATCACTGTTAATTATATAATCAGTTCAATTTTCTTAAATGTGCTCGAAGCTCAGAAATCTTAACTATAACCACAACTCAGGAATCTTAACTGCACACGCCAAACAAACTTTTCCAATTTCATGGGGTTATTTTGCTTTTCCAGAGACGTGATGCCCGATACGCATCTCCTTTCATTTACAGTTTAATTTATTCTAGACTGACTGATAAAACATTTACAGTGATACAAAATTAAATGCTTAAACTTGAAAAAAAAAAGATTGCTTCAGCTGGGTAACTTCAGCACTTTCAATGCTCAATGGAAACTGAAATATGTTTACTTGTAAGATTTCCTTGATGGATGATTTGAAGATTTCCTTATCAGTAGTTCTCTTCATTCAAGGGCTTTGCTGTTTTTAAGCGGGTTTTGTGCTTGCTTTTGGTCGGTTAATGTGTCGGTATGATCTTGACGACCAGCTCTGGAATAGCCTTGAAAGCCAGGTCTAGTATGGTTTGACTTAGTCACTAGGTATGGTGTGGTCATGAGGTCCACGTTTGTATTGGCATTTGCTACCAGGTCTAGTTTGGTCTTGACAATCAAATCTGTAGTGGTCTTCACTACGAAATATGGTGTGCCCTTCACAAACCGGACTGATTTGCTCTTCAAGAGAAGGTCTTGAGTAGTTTGGACCACCAGGTCTGGCATGGTCTTGATTACGAGGTCTGACTTACGAAATCGCAATAACACGATTGCAAACAAATCACGGAACGTCTGGTCTGGTCTTGAAGACCAGGTCTTGAGTGGTCTTCACCACCAGGTTTGGTGTATCTCAAGATTACATCGTCTTTTCATCTCTCCATCTCCTCCTGCTGCTTGCATGGTTGACCAGACAGTCTCTTTGAACCGCTGCCTCAAAGTCTCACCCTTAACATACCTCTTCATAATGAGGCAATTTTCATTTTAATATCTCAAAATTTCCTTTCATTAGGCTGTAAGTTACTGCCATCTTGTGGTCTGCTTTTGAACTCCTTTTCATGCAAACGAGGTAACAGAGGTGGATACAAAAAGTTAAGGAACTATTAAAATAATAAATTGCGAGATAAAGCATTTCGAGAAACAAAGGAAAATGTGCATAAATTATGGAATATTTTATAGGGAAATCAATTTGTGTGGAATATATATATATATATATATATATATATATATATATATATATATATATATATATATATATATATATATATATATATATATATGTATATATATAACAGTAAACCTAAGCTAATTCGTCAGCGTCATCTTATGTCTTGTAGCATTTAGACGATATCTTGAATTTCCGCTTCTGCACTTCCCTGACCATAAGACGTACGTGTGTCAATCATGGCTGAGGAATGTGCAGACTCGCAGACATTCTCCTTCGCTGTCATGGCCTTCCGGGATTGTCTTTTGGAATGGAACGAGGAACGAAGCACCCTGGTAACTTTTCTTGACACTTGGGAAAGTTCTTGAATCTGTATACATTTGGGGAACTTAGCGTCACCCAAGATAAAGAAATGGCAACGAGAGGAAGAAACAAGAATAACGAAAGTTGTCATTAAAAAACATACCATGTACATGGCATACACCATATACTTAGCATACATACAGTGTAGAACATTATATACGTTTTATACTTCCAGAGGCGAATCAACGTAGTCACGTGATGGTCGTGACAAATATTTGGAAAAATATTTTCAATATACTTAAACTGTTCTACATTATACAATAATCTATATGACAACATCGCGTAAAGGCTACGCAATCACGCTTATACACTTATGATTTATAGTGGACTAGTGTAATTTGGATTATGTATGGCGTGGTATTCACTGCAGCAAATACTTTTAATGCTTTTCATCCTTTCTGGCTTCCAGTACATTGTGAATTAATAAAAAAATCGTACTGTCCCAAGCGGTGATAAATTGTTCCACTTGTAATTAATTCAGTGAACAGAAAAGGCACAAAAAAATATTGCCAGTATATCAAAGGCCCAGAGCACAACAAATGAGATGAATTTACTAATGAAGTTTTTCGTTCATGAATCAAATTGTAATTAAACATGTATGTCTTTCCTATCGTTTTTTTTATATAAATCTGTAGTGGCGGGAAGGTGGGGTAGGGGTCGGCCTAGGAAAGGTTGGAGGAAGGGAGTAAAGGAGGTTTTGTGCGCGAGGGGCTTTGACTTCCAGCAAAAACAGTATCTGCACTTTGAAGGAGGGGTGTTAATGTTCCAGTTTTATAACTGTAGTGTAAACGCTAATAATAATGATAAAATAGGAATATAATATACTATAAATAATAATAATAATAATAATAATAATAATAATAATAATAATAATAATAATAATAATAATAATAATAATAATAATAATAAATAATAA